ATCCTCTATCCTCTATCCTCAGCTTCAACGCCATATTTGGTTATCTTCCAATCCCAATTCTCGTCTGTTATCTGTGCCGGATTCGCGCCCCAACTGGGAAGTGTGACGCCTTAGCGCCTTGTGGCCCAACTTGTCTAAGCTGCATGACGGCCTGAGGTTGTTGGCTTTTCACTTTTATCTACGGGGTATCATTGGCCCAATCGGAATTCTCTGCACAGTCTCGTCACATCTAGAAACGGCTCGCTCGTGTGTCGCAAACTCGGCCGGAGGCCTTGTTTCCAACAGTCGCGCTCTCCCCAAGTCTGTTTACGCGTCATATGGTCCCTCTGTTGGCTGGTGACACTGTGACTTGGTCCCTTATCGTTTAGGTTATGGGATCGACGCGTTCTACGGGCGCACACTATTCCTCAGTGCTAGCCCCATCAGCCCAGGAGATCATCAGATCGCAGCCCCGTCTGCAACCCTCACCGCTACCACTCCAACCCATTCACAACTCGTCTTCCCATCCGTCTTCGGGCCCGCACAGGCCATCGCCGACAAAAGGACTTCGTCCTCAGGGCTCCCATTCGCGCTACGGAAAACTCGGTTTCGTCCCCATATCCGCTCCTCCTCCTCCCATGTTTACCACCGACTCCCCAGCCAAGAAAGCGCCATTCCCCATCTACTCTCAAACTTCTCTGCCACATTCTGCTCTCTTCACCACCTTCTCCAGCGTCAATCCCGAATCATCAAAAGAAAACCTTCGCGAAGAACCATCCAATGACAGCTTTGCGGACTTCCCAGAGCCGTCTTATGATTCCAAACTATCGATGAAGCGCACACTCATGGAGGCTGCGCCGCTCAAGGAGCGATCTAACAAGAAACAAAAGCGCGACGACGCGCCGATTGCTTACCTACCGGAACCGCACGACATGCCACCAGTGGACGATGATGGCACCAAGCCTCCATACAGCTACGCTACCTTGATCGGGATGTCAATTTTGCGCGCAAACAATCGGCGCTTGACGCTAGCGCAAATTTACAAGTGGATCTCGGATACCTTTTCGTACTACAAGAACAGCGACCCCGGTTGGCAGAATAGCATCCGCCACAATCTCAGTCTCAACAAGGCATTCATCAAGCAAGAGCGGCCCAAGGATGATCCCGGCAAGGGTAACTACTGGGCCATCGAGCCCGGTATGGAGGCACAATTCCTCAAAGACAAGCAAGTGCGCCGCGCCACCATGTCCAGCCTTCCTCTTCCTGCTGCTCCACAGAGAGATCTTATTCCTCAGTCGCAAACCACAAGCACCACGACCTGGATGGTACCGCCGCAGCCCGCTTACCACGCGCCACCTCATCACGCGCCTGCTCCTCGGCCGGTCCCAAATGACTTGTCTTCGGATGCTACATTACCTGCATCTGACCCTGCTCTTCAAGATGATGCGGACGAAGTTGTTCCGGTTCCTGCGCCACGCGCACCGCCGCGTTCCTCTCCGCCGCAGACCATACGGTCATCTCCCCCCATTGCTCCTCCCCGATTTGCCCGCCAGGGTACCCCTCCCACCCCCACTCAATCCGGTCCTACCCCCGCACCTCGCCCGCGCAAGCGCAAGTCGATTACCATGAATGACAGTGGCTATTTCTCATCCTTGGAGTCCTCGGCTCTCAGACCTAACAAGGCTGGGCATATCTTGACATCCGATCTGGATATCGAGCCTCCGCGCATTAAGCGCGGTCGTGCCGAAGAAGAGATCGCGCGCATGCGCAGCTCATCTCACGATGTCAGCCCAGGTCAGCCGGCAGCTCGCAAAAACCCCAACCCACCAACCGGTTCATCGCCCCTCCGCAGCCAGTATGTGAGCATGCAGCCGCCTCCATTGACGCCTATCATCAAGTTTAAGAAGCCTGCCCGGCCGCCACCATCTGTGTCCCCCAATACCAACCTGCGAAACCATCGCCGAAAGATCCAGCAAATGGTCAACTCGCCCATCAAGCACCTGGGTCTTTCTGAAGATGCCCTTCCTTGGAGCCCTGCTTTCAATCTCCAGGAAGAGAGTTATACCCCTCACGATCATTTCCATGCCTCCTTTGACGTTTTCGCGGATCCTGGATCAGCACAGGTATCCTATGGGTCTCCCGAGAAGCGTTCAGTGAAGCGCACGCGCACTGGCAGTGGTAACACTGTGCTTTCAGACATCACTTCGGTAAACATCAATAGCCGCCTGGGTATGCCCTCGTTGTCCCGCTCCAAGTCCATCTTCCCTGAGTCGCCGTCCAAGCTCCCAGATATAAACCGCTTTGGAGATGCTGGCCAGGAAGATTTCTTCTCGTTCCATCTCTTCGACGAGAGCAATGACAGCCCAAGTGAAGTCGATGGTGTTGATCTCTTGCAAGGCTTCCAAAAAATTGGAGGTGTGAGTAAGGATGACACTTTGAAGCCTAGGGCACTTCATCGGCCACAAATCGGCCACCGCAGCAATACGACCTTGTTTTAAGACGCCCTCAGTTCACGATTTGTTTTGTTTTTTTTTTTTGGTTTCATAGGTGGGATCTCTGGGAGACACCTTGTTTGATTCTGTTTTTTGTCGTTGATTCTTGCATTATTCTCCCTACTACCCCTCTATTGTCCTCCTGCTTTTATCGCCCTACAGCCTTTGTTTCTTGATTTTTGGATTATCCTGGAGTTGGTTCTCAGTGATGTTTCCAAGGTCTTGTGGGTGGTGTTTTTCTTTGGGAGTTTTTGGGCTGCGCTGATGGAGCCGGTTCTGACATGTCCTCCTCCACTGAGCCCGGAATGGCCTGGTTACGATATTAATGACGATGCTAAGATGTACATGCAAGCGATGGTTTTTATGATTTGGATATCGGGGTTGGGGCTATCTTTATGGGAAACTACTGGAACACACATTGAAGGCGTTATTTGATATAATGTATGTAGTTAGCAATTGAAAGTCATTATTTGTCTGCTTATCAAACTATTCCATGTGCCATTCAAGCTTTGAAGGGTATCTGATTGACCTGATAGATCTAATAGAGTTAAAAAAAAAGACAACAGAAATGCATAATACCGAAACGCCCTATCCAATGGATGCCTGTGGCTGGTAAGCCCAATCCACCACTATCTCCCCGGCAAGATTGAAATCCTCCAGTCACCACCCAGCCTCAGCCTCTTTTTTTAATCACTGCTTGAACAGCCGTTGCAGCCACAGTTGACACACTGAATCGTCTGGTCCTCCTTGAGCTGCGCCTTGGGCACTCGGCAGATACACGTAGAGTTAAAATTCGTCTCTTTCGTTTGGACACAGCGCAGACAGCACAACTAGAGAAGCCAGTTAGTCAAAGTCTAATAAAAGTGCTCTCAAGGGCAAAGCTCACCTTCTCATAACCTTGCTTCTTCCACTTGGCAATCAAGTTGGCATCGGCATACTTGTTCTTCAGCAGGAAATCATATAACTCTTTCGAGATCGCTTCTTTCTCGTAGTAAAGTTCATAAATGTATCGTGAGCCTGTTAGAGGGGCAAATGTCAGTAAAACAGTATTTCTCGATGCGGGAGGAGTAACTCGTACGCTGATGACTGATCTGGAATATAGGCCAGAGAACTTCATATTTCTTCTTTCCCTCATGCGATGCATTTTCCGCATCCTTCATTTTGTTGCTGAATTCTAGCAGGGTATCTTCGAGATCGTCGAATCCAGCGGGAGGCGGTTTGCGATTTCGAGAAGTGCGAATGGGAGGCATGGTGGGCGATATGTGACAGACAAGAATAATAAGATAGATGTATATCCAAAGCGATCCTGTTCGATCTGAGACTGTGTCGACAGGGTAGTTTTTCTTCGATGTTAAATGAGAAACGAAGGACGCAAGTTGCTATCGATAGGGAAAACTGCGCGTCATTTTTGTGCCGTTGTCGACCGCCTTTGATTTTGAATTGCGGTCTTCCTCCAGCTACCCTCCGTCGCCTTGCTGTTATCTCATTCCCCTCCCATTTCACCTCAATCGCTACTCGCATCACCTATACCGCCATTATGGAACAACAGCTCGATCTCACTAAGCTCTCCGAGAGTGATAAGAAGGAGCTTAACCAGGTCCTCACCAACGAGGCTCAGAAGTCCAACATTCAGCAGAGTATGTGTCCATCTTTCTATCGGATATTTAAGGATCTATATTTCACGATCTATATGATCTGAATTATGGTCCTAATGCTAGATATCATCAGCCCTGGAATCAATCATAGCTAACATCAATCCCTTCCAGCCGTCCACCACCTGAACGAAGTGTGCTGGGAAAAGTGCGTCACCAGCAAGATCACCTCCGGCACCCTCGATAAGTCTGAGGAGTCATGCGCACAGAACTGCGTTGACCGGTGGATGGATACCAGTCTGGCCATCCTGTCCAAGCTGGATAACATGCGCGGTGGTCCCGGTCACTAAGCATTTGTCTTGTGTTCTTGGTTTCTGCTACTGTTTCTGATTGCTGTCTGATGTGATGTATGTCTATGGGATATAAATTACTGTTCGTGGGGACTTATTTGGTTGGAGCTTGTTATGCTCTGATTTTGCTCCTTGGATGGCGGTTAGTTTTATTTTGGGGTTTATGGATGGATAGACGGATTGTGGAACCATCACTTGTATACTAGAGTGTCAATTTATGAACCATGTTGTCTTGTACAATATATTTTGGATTTGTTGTGGGATGTTTGTAGAATAAGTGCTTTATATTATGCTGTGATGTTACCATCTTCCGGATTATGGGAAGGGTGGTGAGAATATGCAATATAGGCCATGTTAGGTTAGAGAGCCATTGCATGTAGACTGGGTATAAATAGCAACCTTATAAACAGTATAGGAACTGGGGTGACTGCAAAAATCCACCTTATATAGAGCAGGTCTATCAACCTGGCGAGGCTGGCTCTTGTCTCAATGCACTGCGGACCAATTGGCCATTTACACCATCCCTGGTCAACATGGGGTCAACATGGACTAGAAGGTTTTACAACAGTACGACACACTACGACACATTACGTGATCTGGAACATGTCTTAGCCATTACAGGACCGACAAGTCCGGCGATTCTTTTGGAATCGTGCATTTCACTTTCACAAGTTATGTTCTTTTTGATCATTCAGCCCGGCTGGTATTTTAGCATCACCGCAGTGTAAAACAAAGTTCGCCAAAACCCTAAGAAATCCCTTTTCAAGCATTCCCTGCTTAGACAATGGCCAACTTGGTGGCAGCAATGTCAAGAGCATCGACATCGGGGGTAAGACGGGCGAAAGCCTTCTTGGTTCCGTCAGGGCTGAAGAGAATGTTAGCTTTCAATCCGCCTTTATTCAATATAGAAAAGTAAAACATACCGGATAAGAGTGTTGATCTTGACGGTGTCAACATCGTACAGCTTCTTAAGAGCCTGCTTAATCTGGCGCTTGTTGGACTTGACGTTGACGATGAAGACGAGGGTGTTGTTCTCCTCGATCTTCTTCATGGCGCTCTCAGTGTTCAGGGGGTACAGAACAATCTTGTTGAAGTCCAGAGCGGGGCCGTGGTTGACGGACACGCGGGGGTACTTGGGGGACCGCGACAGCTGGAGGGTCTTGGGGCGGTGGAAGGTGGCCGAGGTGCGGACCTTGCGGGACTTGTGAAGCTGTTGCCACAACCGCGTTAGCGATAGGCTCCAAAAGGGTTTCTTTGGTCTGCTTCATCTTTTGCTACGTACCGAAGCGCCCTTGGCAACCGCCTTGGCGGCGGCGTTGGCCTTGTTCTTGCCTGTAGAGAATATTCGTTAGCCTAGTGAACCAGTGAAAAAAAAAATCTTCAAAAAGATCGATCGTCGATTGCCAATTGTGAATTTGCAGGTATGGATGTGGTAGGTCGAGGATTCTGGATCATAGGCGCAAATTTGAGATCGGTAGGCATATAGCGATGCAGATAGGTGCTGCGATATGTCCTGGTGTTTCCAGCGATTTGCGAAGTGATCTCCAAATATCGAAAATTTTGAATCCAAAATATCTTCCTCCACGTCCACACGGCGAATTCACAATTGGCAAAGCGGCGATTGCAATCAGAAGAGCGCATTGTTATTTGAACATACCGGTCTTGTTGTCGGAGGGGGCCATGGCTGTCGTCGGTCGCTGTCGATGATGGATTATCGCAGTGTCAAAAGTCGAACGGATTTGGAGTGGTCTTCGCTTAGCGAAAACCCTAGTGCTGTGTGTGGGTCAGGTGACCTGCAATCTGCTGGGCCTTGGTATTCTTGGTATTTTTCAGTACATCGTCTTACGGTATAGTTACTTTTTTGTCCAATCAGAATGAACATCGTATTTGGCTCTCTTTTCATTTTCTTGGACAGCTTTTCATTTGCGTGCCAGTGACCTCCTCTCCTTATTGTATATTCGGCCCTCAAGGAGATCCGAAGAAACAACCTATTCTTGATATCTATATCTATCCCTCTAATTTTTCGGTTCATTGCAATCATCAAAACATGGCTCCCCAAAAACGATCCAAGAGGCCGATGTTATTGTCGCATAGTCGGCCTCCCATTGTCAAATCCAAGGACGCTGCACTTTCAGCCAAGGCTACCCGCACTCTGATTCGATCTCATCATCGACTTCTCAAAGTCCGAGCCCAAGCTCTGGCCGCCGGGGACGAAGCCCGAGTCAGCAGCATTGACGCTCAAATCAAAGCTAATGGCGGTCTCGAAAGCTATCAGATCGCCAGTAAACTAGGCCAATCGATGGATCGCGGTGGAGATTCCAGCAAAGTCCTCATCGACTGGATTAAGCCGCAATTGAAGCAATGGAACAACACCATTCCAAAGGTCCGGGTCCTTGAAGTTGGAGCTTTGAGCACCAAAAATGCTTGCTCTACGCACCCAGCCTTGGATGTCACCCGGATCGACTTAAATTCACAAGAGCCGGGGATTCTCAAGCAAGATTTCATGGAGCGGCCTTTGCCCTCCAGTGATGATGAACGTTTCAACATGATCAGTCTGTCATTAGTGCTCAACTATGTTCCTGATGCTACGGGACGGGGTGAAATGCTCAAGCGTTGCGTCAAGTTCTTGACTTCGAAATGTCCCATTGAACTTGTTCCTAGTCTCTTTCTGGTATTGCCTATCGCATGTGTGGACAACTCACGCTATCTCAATGAGGAAAGACTAGGGGAAATTATGACTTGCCTGGGCTTCCATCTTACACAAAGCAAGCGGACTTCAAAACTGGTCTTTCATCTATGGGAACACACTGGTACCTACGCGCCCAAGGTTTTTAAGAAGGAAGAGGTGAGGTCCGGCAAAACAAGAAACAATTTCGCCGTCATTCTCAACAAGAAGTGATTATTTGCATGCAAAACGAAATGCTATTATACTCCATGTACAATGCTGCAAGTGGAAACTAGTTTGCAGAGAGCATGTCTTGTGGCAGGAAGGCCCATACAGTTCCCACAGCTGCCAATATCGAGGAGATGATGAGCAGAATCCAATCAAGGATGTACTCACCTCGACTGATCTCCTTTCCAAAGATCTTGAGATAAAACGCAAGCGGGAAGATAATGCAGATCGTGAAGCACAAGAACGATCCTAAGAAAGCCATGATGCGGTCGAAAGCCGGGAAGATAACCGCCAATATAACAATCATGGCCACTACAAAAACACGGACCATTGCCCGTGAGATTTTTTGTAGCGTCTCCGAGCCGTTTTCAACAGGCACATAGCCGCCTCCGAGTCCACAAAGAACTTCAAATGTGGCCACAAGAGGCCGGGCACTATTTTCTGGTCAGCAGTGTCTGAGGACAATTGAAGGCATTAAACTCACTTCAGTGGCACTTTCGTGAGCGGGATGATCGCAATGAAGATCACAATACAGACTGATATGGACTGTGGGTAGTCGGTGATGGTGAGGATGTTGGCAGTGATTTCGTCGCGGACGATATCGCCAAACATGAGCCAACCAATGATCGCCATTGAGCAGTCCAAAGTAAACTGTCAAATTGTTAGAATCGAACTTTATCCTAGTCACACAATGTTCTTACTGTAAAGATATAGGTCACCGAAAGACTCTTCCCGTATTTCTGAGGGTGTCTCATATCTCTGTAGATGTTAGGGAAAACACCGTGGCCACCCCAAGGTGCTTTTCAGCCAGTTAGCCTTATGATCACAATTGCTTTTGGATGTTTACTCACACATAATAAGACCAAAACTCAGAGGGAGTGTAGCCCAGTTCTCAGGGAAGAGGAATGTAGTAGCTGGCTGCCGCAAGGAGCCCGGTGCATCTGGCTTGATAAGGCCATCGATGCAAATGAGTACCACAACTTTTGAGCGTTAGTTCCGTCTATCAGCGCTAGCCCGGACGAAGACTTACTTGATGTGCACGAAATTATACCCAATATGCTGGTAATACTCAGGAATCGTAGCGGCAGGAAATTGAGCGGTACAAGCACAACTCCACAGACGATCTTCCATTGGAAGATACTCAATCCTGGTACCAGGGCATATAAACTGTCTGCGAAAAGCACAACCAGCGCCACGCATGCTCCTAGAAGTTCTAAGCAGAACAGGAAACTGGTTACCAAACGGGCATGTTGCCCGAAACTGATATAAGCCAGATCAGCGTACGTTACAACGGTCTGGTCGACATCCAGACATTTGGCCAGAATCTTGGCTGTATAGGAAGTAGTAACTGCCGAGAAGACAAGGAATGCCAGTCCCAAAACCCACCCGGCGTGCTTCATTGCCAACGGAAGACTCAGCAGGCCGATACCAATAAGCACATTGACCGAGTTGAAGATGGTTTGGGGGACGGTGGATTGCCCAACAATAATATCCTCCTGGGTGCCATCTTCATGTTGGACATGCTTGACTAGCAATGGGCCGCGATCCAAATCTTCTGACCCATCCACATACGCATGGGGATGATGCTCTCGGTGGAATTGAATCGCATGCCTCATCGTCGACGTGCTCATCCGCGAGGAGACAGTGCCATACGAAGCTGCAAAACTTCTATCAAACGACGAAGCAAGCAGGCCAGCACTAGGCAGTGCCCTCTTAGAAGACTCGAGCGCTCGTGAGTCCCCTTCATCCTGGTCCGAGTCCGAGTCCCCCCGAAGCAAAGGCCGGTCCACATCCGAGTGCCGGCCCCATGATTGAGAGCTTCTTGACCCATATTCTTGGCCAGTGGCAATGCCGAGATCATCGTCCGAGTACGTGGAGACAAACGAAGACCGGCGTGGGATGACTTCTGGGAAGGCCGCGGCTCTCTGCCAAGACCGCGCGAAGTTGTCTATACTGTTAGGACCCCCGCTTGGCGGACTCTAATCGAGTACGATGGAGACCTGCGCAGAGTAGTTAGCTAATCTGGCCTTTATCAATGACAGAAACCGCATACCTCTGTCTACCGCCGAACTCCGACTCCGTAATCGGACTCCCGCGATCTTGATGGCCATAATCGTAGGAGCTTGGTGTTGCAGCTGGTATCCTCGACGAGCCATGGACTGATTCACTGTCGTGATCTTCACCTATTCTTTCGGCCCTTGACATATTTTCCCGTTATCAACACGATATGCGACCCTATAGATGAGGTTTCCAAGTTGGTGTTTCCCAGGGGTGAAGTGCAGGAAAGGAAGTCAAGACTGAGAGAAAGGAAAAAGTTCCCTCACTTATCACATGGAGATAGCTCCCAGCGACAGATAAGAGACTTGGAGGCGAGAACAAGCCCGCGATGTTAAAAAGAGCTTAGCGTTGAAAGGAGCTCCCGCTAGTGTGGGGTGCGGATCGCAGAAATTTGATAAGCTAGAGTTTTTTTATGTGACTAATTGAATGTAGTTGGTATTAGTTAAGGTGATATGTATTTGAAATTAGTAGACTTGATCTATATATTATTTCTTCTATTCTTTCCATATGCAATGATGTCACGTTCTAACCCAATGAATATCTAATTTGTGGTTTTTAGGAAAACCCAGTACGCAGTACCTGAGATATATATTGAACGTGTTTTGCATACTATGCAAAGTCCAAAATTGGTATGTTCGCCTATTAACATATTGAGCATACCTAGCATACTTAGCATTTGCAGTACAGAGTATATAGTACATAAATTGTAGCCCGGGGGCGACTTATATAAAACAAGTAACCTATGTACCGGTACCTGACCGTCCGGTTGTTAGGCCATAACCCGGCAAGTACCAGATACGTCACGGGTAGCCCTGGCTTACCTCAGCGTGGCAGCCGACCCCTCGAACAAACTTGGTATGTCCAACCCCACGAGGAAATTTGCTGTCGCTTTAGAACGTCATATTCAGTGAAGTATGTGCACTCCATGGATGTATGAGTATTGAAAAAAAAAATACTATTCATTTTCTGCCTTTTTTTTTGCATCTACTAACTGAAATTAGGTGTAAAGCAGGCAAGCCTAAATCTTTGTTCGCCGACTTCCGCCCCCATTACTGACCAAATCTTCAGGCGTCCGCAGGGCCTCCGATATTCTCCCCCCCCTGATCAACTGTCGCCTCTTCAAGATGAGCGCCCCTCCGCCGAACGAAGCTGAGAAGAATATCGAGATCTGGAAAGTCAAGAAGCTGATCAAGCGTCTTGAATCCGCTCGTGGAAATGGAACTTCTATGATTTCGCTCATTATTCGTACGCTGTCACTGCCCCCGCCACTTACGGTCGTCTGCTAACATGCCGATTTAGCCCCCAAGGATCAAATTAGCAGAGCAGCCAAGATGTTGGCTGAAGAGTATGTACGTGAACTATATATCTCCGATCTGTCTGCACTGAACGCCGCCTAATCGCACACTAGGGTACCGCCTCCAACATTAAGTCTCGAGTGAATCGACTCTCCGTCCTGTCGGCCATTACCTCTACCCAGCAGCGTCTGAAGCTTTACAACAAGGTCCCTCCCAACGGACTGGTCGTGTACTGTGGTGAAATTATCACCTCGGAAGGAAAGGAGCGCAAGATTAACATCGATTTCGAACCGTTCAAGCCCATCAACACCTCCCTCTACCTTTGTGACAACAAGTTCCACACTGAAGCATTGAGTGAACTTCTGGAGGCTGATCAGAAGTTCGGTTTCATTGTCATGGACGGTAATGGTACTCTGTTTGGTACTCTCAGTGGTAACACTCGTGAGATCCTTCAGCGTCTTTCCGTTGATCTGCCCAAGAAGCACGT